GGAAGCAGGCTCCCTGCTGAGCAGAGAGCCCAATGTGGGGCTGGATCCCAGGGCCCTGAGACCATGACCTCAGCCGAAGGCAGAGGCTTTAACCCACTGAGCCACCCAGGCGCCCCTAGTTTTAACTTTTTAGTACAAAACAATTCCTGGTGAATAATGCAGTGCAAAGATTTAAGTTCTGCATCCTTGAAAAGCATTTTGACCTTGGCTCTAAGTTTTGCAACAAGCCCAGTGTTATCACAGACCATCGCAGGACCACCATCTGTGTGGTCACACTTACCGGTTTGGACCAGTCAACATTAAACTTTTCATGACTTCTCTCAACATACCCAAATAAGTCATTTTCAGATGTTGCGTCTGTCATGGGCACCATGTCCAAAAGTACTTCAGTGATGTCAAAATTCTCATCAACGCCCCGGATAAATAATTAACTGACTTGTATTATTTACATCTGTGCTCTCATCCACTGCAATGAAAATGTCACAAATGATTTCATTTTTTCTTGCAACTTGTCCTCTATGTTCTTCACCGTATCTTTTACTCGCTGAGCAGCAGTGTTTCCAGTTAGACTTATGTTTGCAAATGCTTGTTTCTGCTCTGGACACATGATTTCTGCAGCATTCAATAGTCATAGTCTTTTATAAACTCACCATCTGTGAAAGGTTTCAATGTCCGGGCAATTTTTTTCACTTATGACATAACTGCATTTCACAGCAGCATCACTTATTTGATTTGCCTTTGATGATAAATGTGGAAGAAAGCTTAGTCCTTTTTTTTTTTAAAAATATTTTATTTATTTATTTGACAGAGATCACCAGTAGGCAGAGAGGCAGGCAGAGAGATGAGGAAGCAGGCTCCCTGCTGAGCAGAAAGCCCGATGCGGGGCTCCATGCCAGGACCCTGGGATCATGACCTGAGCCAAAGGCAGAGGCTTTAACCCACTGAGCCACCCAGGTGCCTCAAGCTTAGTCCTTTTTTTTTAGTTCATTACGTATTTCATCATGCATATTTTCTGTTTACCAGTCAAAATTCTTACTAAGGTTTGTTTCATAACAAACCATAACAAACCATGTATTCTTTTGATACAGACAAAGTCCAGTTATGTATTAAACATACAGGGCTATTCTTTTTTTTTTTTTTTTAAGATTTTATTTATTTATTTGTCAGAGAGAGAGAGAGAGAGCACACATAAGCAGGCAGAGGCGGAGAGAGAAGCAGGCTCCCTGCGGGGCAAGGAGCCCGATGTGGGACTCAATCCCAGGACCCTGGGATCATGGCCTCAGCTGAAGGCAGTGGCTTAACCGACTGAGCCACCCAGATGTCCCAATATAGGGCTATTCCTAACTTCCACAAAGAAATATGCTCTTTCCCATTTTTCTTGAAACATGCGACGCTCTCGATTCATCTTGTTTTCCCACTTTTTTTTAAAAAGCATTTTATTTATTTGACAGAGAGAGAGAGATCACAAGTAGGCAGAGAGGCAGGCGGGGGGCGGGGGGAAGCAGGCTCCCCACCCAGCAGAGAGCCCGATGTGGGGCTCGATCCCAGGATTCTGAGACCACGACCTGAGCTGAAGGCAGAGGCTTAACCCACTGAGCCATCCAGGCGCCCCTGTTTTCCCACTTTTGACAGAGATACAGGTATATAAAGAGAGTTCATGTTTCTTTACTATAAGAGAAACAACAGCACAAGCCTGATGATAAATGGTAACTGACATTGGTTTTGAGGAGTGGAGGAGGGAAGAGTGGAAACTGTAGGTAGCAAAGGGTAAAGCCTTCCAAAGGGAGCAGCCACGACTCACTTGGTGTGGACTGGTGGTATGTGGCAACACAAGCCCACTGTGACCAGAGCTTCCCAATTTTTGAAGCAAAGCCAGATATTGTATTTTCACACAAAATCAGCTGACTTTTAGATATTGCAAATTAAAGCAAAAAACCTTTAGACATGCGAAAGGCAAAGTAGGTCTAAGGAGTGTAAACAGCCCCGTGGCACCAGTCTGGCCTCTGGAGCCCCACTCACCTCCTAGCCCGCGGCCAACCACTTCCAGGGTCGCCAGGGCTTCTACCCCACACGGACCCAGAGTGGCTTCATCCTGCGGGGGTGAACCTGCCAGAAGCACGACTTTATCTTTGGTGGTGTGGCCCTCCAGGGAGGCGACATGGGCTTACGGAAGAAGGGAAGAGTCAAGAACGTTCTCTGAGGAAGTCACGGGAAGCCAGGCAAAGGGCACATGGGTTGCGGAAGCTCAGGGATACACTATGACCTTTACCTTGATCCGAGCAACTGCCTCCAAGAGTGTGCAGCTCCCGCGCACGCACAAATCGCTGGATGTCAGTGTCTTGAAGGCAGAGAAGAGTGAAGTCAGCAGCTGCGAGACGCAGGGAGAGGTGTGTGGGGGCCCAGGACAGTTCGTGGGGTCGGAGAACACTTGCGGGCGGGACAGCATCCCAGGGGAACGGTGGGGCAGCGCTAATCAGAGCCCATAGTGGGGACACGCACGGAGAGGGGAATTACACCTCGCCCGGGCCCAGGCCCTGCTTTCCGGTTCCCCTGAGCCCTGCCGCCCTCCGTCCCTCATGTATCCTGTTTCCGTTCCACAGGGATCTTACCTGGGACACAGCCTCGCGCCGCCGTAACCGTGGAAACGGAGTCCAGAAGCTACAGACCAGAGGCGCGAACACACCCACCACTGGGGGCGCATTTGCGTCACTGCCCCGCGCCTCCTCTCGCCTTCCGCGGAGGCCTCGCCCCCTCTCTCCTCGCCACGCCCCTCCGCGGTCCGCGCAGGCGCGGGCCCCTCCTGGGTGAGCCCAAGTTCTCGGAGGCGGTAGGCCAGATGGCGTCGTGCTTGCTGAGACCGGTTTCGTTGAGCTGGATAGACGGTTTCCCTGCACCCTCTGGGACGCGGCAGATGATGGGAGCCGCTTAGTCTGACACTGAGACGAAAGTCCAGATATTTGTTGGGACCTCGGAGCAACGAGGCCCCCGCTAGAACTTCCATTTTCTCATTCGAGATGGACATCTGTTTAAGCACAGACAGGGCTAGTTAGGGTGCAGAGGAGGTGGTAAGAGTGTGCAAAACAGGGTCGCCTGGCTGGCTCAGTCAGAGGAGACTGCGACTCTAAAAGGTGCAGAAGGGGAACCGTAGGACCAAGGGGCCTCAGGTGTGGCCAGGATGTAGAGCTCCCAACGAGGGAGGAGGAGGCTGGGAGTTCCTAAGTGGCCTCAACTGAAAGGAGCTGCATGTTCAGTTGGCCTCCCTCTTTTCACCTGGACTGGGAGCAAGGGGGACACTGAATGGAGCTGCCCAGGAACTGTGGGTCCCTGAACCTCAGACCTTCAGCCCACCCTGAGTTGGCAGGGCCTTCTGTTGTAACCCTCAGGCCTCATCCAGCACTGGGGGGTTGTGTTGGAAAGAAATACTCAGCATTAAGGCAGAATAGTTATGCCCTAGATCATAGAAAAAAAATCTAGGTCTGAATGCCAACTCAGAATTTACCCTTGGGGCTTGACTCTTCTGTAAAGTTGGGTAATAGTAATTACTGTCTTGCAGGATTGCAGGAAATAATGTAGGACTCTCCCTTAGCATGGTGTTGAGTATATCTGCATAAAACCAAAATCAGGAAAACTTTTTAAGATTTTTTGAAAAAATTTATATACTTGACAGAGTTAGGGAACACAAGCAAGGGCGTGGGGTGGGAGAGGGAGAAGCAGGCTTCCTGCTGAGCAGGGAGCCCAGTGTGGGCCTGGATCCCAGTACCTTGGGGTCATGACCTGAGCTGAAGGTAGACACTTAACAACTGGGCCACCCAGGTGCCCCAAGATAGACTTTTAAATATTGAAAACTTTTGGGGGCACATGGGTGGGTCAAATGGTTAAGTGTCTGCCTTTGCCTAAGGTCCTGATCTCAGGGTCCTGGGGTTGGGCTCCCTGCTCAATGGGGAGTTTGCTTTTCCCTCTCCCTCTGACCTTCCCTCTGCCTCTCCTGCTGGTTGTGTACGTTCTTGGTCTCTCTCTCAAATGAATACAAATCTTAAGAAACCCAAAACCTACTGAGCTTATTTAAAAAAAAAAAAATTGAAAACTTCTGATCTTGAGCTGGTATAATGGTTCAGACTTTGGAACCAGATTGAATTTAGATCCCAGCTCTATGGTTTACAATCTATGTCCATGGGCAAATCACATAACCTTTACCTCTGAGAATAGGAATAGTAGAACCTACTTGCGTGAGAATTGAGTAAGTCAATATACCTATAAAGCATTTAGAACAATGTCTGGCACAGAATCAGCAAAACAAATTATTGTTAATAAATAAAATAGATACACCATGCTGAGTTAGACTTGTGAGCTAAACATTTTTTCATAACTCTTCAGACAACTCACTTGAGCCTCACAGATGGAAGCAGACACATCAGAGACCAGCCCTTCTCCAGCCTTGTAACCCACTAGTCTAGACTCCTGGCCTTTGCTTCTGCTTTGCTGCCCATCTAGAATGTTCTTTCATCTGTTGAGTTTCCGCCCATCCTTGGAAACCAGTGGCTGAGAGGAAGGTGGTTATTTCTTCGCTTCAGACACAGAACCTGGGGCTGCCTCGTGACCCTACCTTGGTGGAGCCTGTGGCTGAGTGCTAGTTTGTGGAGCTCCAGCTACCCCCGAGCTCCAGCTACCCCCAAAAGCATCCCAAAGCCCCCAAAGTGTGCCTGATGTTTTATCTTGAGCGGCTGGCACCTCTACCCACCTTAACCTGTGGTTTGCCTGCTGGAAACAGGACCTGTGAGGAAATTCCCAGCCTCCCTGTGAGGCTGGCTTCTGCCTCAAGTCCTCAGGAGTGGCCAGAAGTTAAGCCTTCTGTCTCATGCCCAGGCAAACACTGTTGGATGCCTTACAGGGCTTTCCCAGATGGGAGAAAATGAAGGAGAGAGAAGACTCAAGTGCTTGGATTCCCCCAGCAGACCTGTGTTTGTGGCATAGCCTACCTGTCTCATCCCTCCTTTTGGTTTCTTTCTTTCCTTTTTAAATTAATTAACTAATTAATTAATTAAACACAGAGAGAGATTGGTCATAAGCAGGCAGAGAGGCAGGCAGAGAGAGAGGGGGATGCAGGCTCCCTGCTGAGCAGAGAGCCCGATGTGGGGCTCGATCCCAGGACCCCGGGATCATGACCTGAGCCTAAGGCAGAGGCTTTAACCCACTGAGTCACCCACGAACCCCTTTCTTTCCTTTTTTTTAAAATTTAAGATTTTATTTATTTATTTGAGAGAGAGCACAAGCAGGGGAAGCAGCAAATGGAGAGGGAGAAGCAGGATCCCTGCTGAGCAGGAAGCCTGATGCAGAACTTGGGGCTCGATCCCAGGATCCTGGGATCATGACCCGAGCCAAAGGCAGTCACTTAACCAGCTGAGCCACCTGGGTGCCCTCCTTGTGGTTTGTTTTTTAAAGATTTTATTTATGTATTTGTCAGAGAGAGAGAGAGAGTACAGGCAGGCAGAGTGGCAGGCAGAGGCAGAGGGAGAAGCAGGCTCCATGCGGAGCAGGAGCCCGATGCAGGACTTGATCCCAGGAAGCCAGGATCATGACCTGAGCCGAAGGCAGGCGCTCAACCGACTGAGCCACCCAGGCGTCCCCTCCTTGTGGTTTCTAATTCAAGAACATGTGGCATAATGAGAACACAGGATTAGGAGTCAGTGGATCTGGGTTTGATTTTGGCCTTGCCATACATGGCTGGTGCTGCTTAGCTTCTCCCAACCTCGGTTTCTACGAAATAGAGATAATACTATATCTGACCTCCAAGGGCTATTAGAATAAAATGAAGGTGCACAAAAATCACTTAGAACTCTGTTCCTTTGTCCCAGAAATCTGAGTCTTCCTGGCCTAAAGAAGGGAGAGAGCCTCCTCAGAAGGTCACCTAAAGCCCCTAGCAGCTGTAGCCTTGGATTCTACATTTATACATTCATTTCTTCATTCATTCCAGATTCTTATTGAACACCCTCTCAGTGCCAGGCCCTGTGCTTGCCATCAGGGTACCAGAGTGACATCGCTTGCGCTGACTCTAAGCTTCCAGGAAGGGGAGTCTCCTGATCTGGAGTCTGGAGGGCGTGGCCATTTGGCACTGCCCGTCTGCAGACTCCCAGGAAACGGGTTCCTTAGCTGTGGGAAGAGTAAGCCTAGGGAGAAGGGGCTTATTATTTGTACCCTTGGCAGGCCCCCACTCATCCAGCCTGCCCTCCTCTGTAAGGTGCCTTCAGATGGGCAACATCGCCCACCTTGTCTACAAGCCCTACCCGTAGAAAGGAGAGATCTCTAGTCAGTGGGTTAGGTGGGTCAGACTTCTGGTCTCTGCCTTTTTAGGACTAAGTGGGTGGGAGCCCAGAAGGCCGAAATGCTCTCCCTGTCCTATAGAACCTGGCTAGGACCGACTGACCTCCTTCCTTCTGGACTGAGGGCTTCCCCATACTGTTGCCAGGTTTGGTCCCCGTCACCCAACAATGAGGTGATGGGAGACCATTCAGACCAAGAGCAGCTTCATCTCGCCTTCTATTATTTTTTTAAGTTTTTGTTTATTTGACAGAGACACAGCGAGAGAGGGAACGCAAGCAGAGGGAGCAGGGAGCCCCATGCAGGTATCGATCCCAGGACTCTGGGATCATGACCTGAGCGGAAGGCAGAGGCTTAACGACTGAGCCACCCACGCGCCCCAAGGATTTAATTATTAAAGGCCTAATGGGGACCTTCCACGTCAGATCCCCTTTCTCCAGCCCAACACAGCAGCCACTAGTGGGTTCCCAGGACCTTTGGGCTGATGCCTGATACAGGGAGGACGGAGGGCAATTCCAGGGGACCCAGTGCAAGCATGTCGCCCTTTCATGGCTCCTCTGGCCTCAGCTCAGGTCCAGGTGACATGTGGCCTTCCAGCTGGGTGAAGCTCTAAGGACAGTGTCCTTTTTCCTTGTCTTCCTCTTCCAAGGCAGAAGGGGATGAGCCCCCCAAGTACCTAGGAGGACCTGGAGGCAAGAAGGCGCTGGTGCATGAGGTCCCCACCCTGTGCCTTCAATGTCATTATCTGGCCATTAAAGCAAATGAAGGGCTGATATACACTACGACATGGGTAAAACCCGAAAACATGCCAATCAAAGGAAGCCAGACACAGGACAATTCTCTTTATTTATTGTTTATCTCTACTAATGAAAGGAAGATGTTGCTTTTTTTTTCATTAAACTGTAAGGGTGTTTTCTCTTTTTAAAATATTTTATTCCAGGGACACCTGGGTGGCTCAGTCAAGCCACTGCCTTCAGCTCAGGTCATGATCCCAGAGTCTTGGGATCGAGTCCCACATTGGGCTCCTTCCTCAGCGGGGAGCTGCTTCTCTCTCTGCCTCTGTCTGCCTCTCTGCCTACTTGTGTTCTCTCTCTGACAAATAAATAAATAAAATCTTAAAAAAAAATTTATTCCAATATAGTTAACAGTGTTATGTTATTTTCATGGGACAATTATTTTAGATTCTACTTACTTATATGAAGCATCTAGAATTGGCAGGGTCATAGAAACAGGAAGGAGAGGTCGCCAGGGGCTGTGAGGAGGGGGACATGGGAGTGGCTGATTAATGGATATGGTTTCTGCTGCGGGGATAAAAGGGATCTGGAAACAGTGGTGACGGTTGCACAGCATTGTTAGTATAATTAATGCCATGGAATTAGACATCTGAAATGGTTAAATGGCAGGTTTTACATTGTGTGTGTGATGTCCACAATACATTTTTTTAAAGACTTATTTGAAAGAGAGAGCAGGGGGGTGGGGCAGAGAGAGACCTGAGATCATGATCTGGGCCACAACCAAGAGTCAGACACCTAACCCACTGAGCTACCCAGGCGCCTCACAATAATTTTTTTTTAAAAGATTTTGTCAGAGAGAGAGTGCACAAGCAGGCAGAGGCCTAGAGAGAAGCAGCCTCCCCGCCGAGCAAGGATCCTGATGTGGGACTCAATCCCAGGATCCCAGGATCGTGACCTGAGCTGAAGGCAGCAGCTTAACCAACTGAGCCCCCCAGGCGTCCCCAAATTTTTAAA